GGGTTCGATCCTCAGCACCACATACCAACAAAGATGTTGTGTCCGCCGAGAACTAAAAAAAAATAAATATTAAAATTCTCTCTCTCTCTCTCTCTTTAAAAAATAAATAAATAAATAAATAAATAAATAAATAAAAAAAAACAAAGGTATTGTGTACAACTAAAAGAAATAAATATTTTTAAAAAATACAAACTAGGGCTAGGAATGTGTTCAGTAGTCGAGTGCCTCTGAGTTCAATCCCTGGTACCACCATCGCCCTCCCCCATAAAAAGATTCTTGTGGGCATGATGGTGCATGCCTGTAATCCCAGCAACTCAGGAGGCTGAGGCAGGGAGGACTGCAAGGTGAAATCCAACCTCAGCAACTTAGTGAGGCCCTAAGCAACTCAGTGAGACCCTGTCTCTAAATAAAATATAAAAAATAGGGTTGGAGGACTGGGGATGTGGCTCAAGCGGTAGCGCGCTCGCCTGGCATGCGTGCGGCCTAGGTTCGATCCTCAGCACCACATACAAATAAAGATGTTGTGTCCGCTGAAAACTAAAAAATAAATATTAAAAAAATAGAGTTGGAGATGTGATTTAATGGTTAAGCACTCCTGGGTTCTATCCCTGATACCAAAAAGAAAAAAAAAAAGGATTGTTTTCCTCTCATACTTTTATGTTCTTTATATTTTTTGTACTTTTTTTTTTTTTTTGTACTGGTGATTGATTCCAGGGGTGCTTAAGCACTGAACCACATCCCCAGCCTCCCCTCCCCCCCTTTTTTTAATTTATAGAAAGGGTCTCACTGAGTTGCTTAGGGCCTCACTAAACTGCTGAGGCTAGATTCCAACTCATGATCATCCTGCTTCAGCCAATGGGATTACTGGCGTGCACCATAACCTTTTATATATGTAAATCTTGACTAAGAGGATAAAAACTCTTAGTGTTTCAGATGTGAGATAGAAGCCTACATTTATTTATCTATCTTTCATATAGCTATAGATGTTACAAATTTGTTTAACAATAAGGGAATCCCTCTGGTATGTATTAAGCAATCAATTTCTTCATGGGGGAACTTCCTACTATTCACTGCCTTTGAGGGCAGCAGGAACTGCAGGATTCCCAGGAACAGACAGGTAGACATTTTTCTTCATTTTTGTTCCCTAGCAGCTTAAAGGGAAGATCTTAGTGAAGGGGAAGAAGTTAGGAACACTTGAGGATGATCTTGAAGATGAGGAAGAAGTGACAGAACCCCAGCTGGAGAGACAGCAGGGGACAGAACTGCCACTGGAGTCCCCCTCTGAGCCTGTGACACTGGAGCTGAGCCGCCTGAATAAGGACAAAAAGAAGGTAGGCCAGGAGTAGTCTTTCTGTGGTGGCATTTGGTTAGCATGCTTCACAAGCTGAAGGCTAATTTGTGAAGATAAGAGCCTGGCAGGGTGGAGGGCCAAGGAGAAAAATGACCCTTCCTTCCAAGAAGAGAGGTATAATAATGCATAGATGGCATCACTGTGTGGGATACATCACCAAATAAAGATACATTGTAGTGGCTTTCCAACTTTTCTGGGCCATGAAATTTTTTTTTAATGAAAATTTATATGGAAACTCAGTATACAAAATAGATAAACAGAACCATTCTAATTGAACCCCTCATTTGGCTCTCTTATGGGTCCCTTAGATGACTCTAGACCTATTTTGTACTTCTCAATCTCCTTAAAGTCCAGTTTGAAAACCACTGTGTGTATGTGTGTGTGTATTTAGCACTATTAGGTTGGCTAAATAGGGATTAGTGGAATGATTACAATGACTTTAACTCCAGTGGGCTTAGAGAAAGCTTCTTACAATGAGTGGAATTTGAGTTTGAGGTACGGCCAGAAATGGCCAAAGGTTTGGAGAGGGGAAGGTGAAAGCTTTGAGAAAGTTTTGCCAGTGTGGTCCATATCCCTATGGGGAAAGGCAAGGCTAAGGGATAAGGGGTGCCATTGGTGGGACCTCTGAGATCTGGATTTGAAGTCTGCATTTCTCTCTTGTGGGCTTGATTGGCCCGCTCAGCTGACTTCTAGCTTTCCTGTTCTCTCTGGGACTGTGATGTTTAACTTGCCACCATGTCCAGGGATGGAAATGGGAATTCAGGAGACAAGTCCAGTGATATTACTCTAGGACCCTCACATCTGAACAGAAGCAAATTCCACAATCATTTGCATACCTTGACATACCTCTGGATTCATGTACATTTTGTTGTTTTTGTTTCTGTGGTACTGGAGATTGAATCCAGGGGAGCTCTACCATTGAGCTACGTCACCAGTCCTCCCCCCACCCCCCAGGCAGGGTCTTACTAAGTGGCTAAGGCTGGCCTTGGACTTGTGATCCTCCTATCTCAAGCCTCCCAGGTAGCTGGGATTAAAGGCATGCATCACCATGCCCAGCATGAATTCATGTACATATATATTTTAAATTATTTTTTAGTTGTAGTTGTACATAATACCTTTATTTTATTTATTTATTTTTATTTTTATGTGGTGCTAAGGATCGAACCCAGGGCCTTGCACACGAGAGGCAAGCGCTCTACCACTGAGCCACAACCCCAGCCCGAATTCATGTATATTTTGATCAAGATTATTGTTCATTTGTTTTCAAACAAGAGAGGTAGGGAAGATAACACATCTCTGTTTAAAAATAATGATAAAGACCTGTTATCCTAGATATAACATAGAATGGACTCTCCAAGCCCAGCAGCTGAAATTGATCCCAGCAGTATATGCAGACTGCCTTTATTCCCATCCCCACCCCCAGGTTGTGATGTGCCCGCTGTTTTGTCCGCCTATCTGTTGTCACATTGTGGCCCAGGCTTCTAATATCAATCTTGGGTCCCTTCTCTTGCTTGAGCAGGTGAGGCAGGAGGGAGAATACAATGGGGAGGCAGTGGGCAGAGGTGTAGATTGGATGGAGGGCCATTAGCTTCTTCCCTCTCAAGCTGATGAGGATTCAATTCCTCTCCACTTTTTCCTCCAGAAATCCAGGTCCGTCTTGTGTCCAGCCCTCTCTGACCTGGTTGTCTACCTGAAGTCTGTCTCATTCCGCAGCTTCACCCATTCAAAGGAGAACTACCACTTCTATGAGATATCGTCCTTCTCTGAAACCAAGGCCAAAAGCCTTGTCAAGGAGGCTGGTTAGGACCAAAATGGAAGGACAGGGAGGGAAGCACGGGATGGGTAGGTTCAGACTTATGGGCAGGGATATGGTGGTAAGTCCCAAGTAAGAGGACAAGGGAGCTCAAGAGAGATGATGGAGTTAAGAAATTTATCACAGCAGGCAAAGGGAAGGGAGTTAGGAATAGTGAGCAAAAGACTGATGACACTGGGGGAAGGGGACATTGAGCTTTAGATGTTGGGGAAAAGAGTGAAGTGAGTGGGCAGGGTCCTTGGGGCCAGGGAATTGGCAGGAGCTACCCCACTTCCATCTTCCTCCTTCTTTCTTTTACAGGCAATGAGTTTGTGCAGCACAATGCCTGGCAGTTAAGCCGTGTGTATCCCAGTGGTCTGAGGACAGACTCATCCAACTACAACCCCCAGGAACTCTGGAATGTAGGCTGCCAAATGGGTGAGGAGGCAGCAGACAGGAGGTGGGACAGCAGGAGTGGGTGGAGGGAGATAAGTTCCCTAATGGAAGTAGGGCCAGGGGGAATGACCTTGAATGCTAGGTGAGGAAAAGGTTACCTATCTTTGAAGATGTTCCCAGCAGGCACTCTTACACCCAATACCTGTCTTATTCCCTTGGAAGAGAACCTGGAAGTCTTCTGAGATGAAATCTTTCCCTTCTTTTCTCCTGGGGCCTCAGTGGCTATGAATATGCAGACTGCAGGGCTTGAAATGGACATCTGTGATGGGCTCTTCCGCCAGAATAGTGGCTGTGGCTATGTGCTGAAGCCAGATTTCCTGCGTGATATCCAGAGTTCCTTCAACCCGGAGAAACCCCTCAGTCCTTTCAAGGCCCAGACTCTTTTGGTCCAGGTATGAAGGGAAGAGAAGCTGTTGAAAAGAACCTGGGATAACTGGGATAGAAGTGGGGGAAGATATGGCTAGGCCTGACAAGAGCATAATTGGTTGAAAATTCCTTGTGAGATGCAGAATAACCTGATTGCTAACAAGACATTGGAGCCAACTGCCTAGCTTAAAATCTACTTCCTAGTTGTATAATACTGGGCAAGTTTGTTAGCCCATCTGTACTTCAGTTTACTCACCAGTAAAATAGGAATGATACTACTGCCTACCTCACAGGATTGTGAGGATTGCAGGAGTTATTAAGGTCAAGTGCTTACACCATCTGGTACACAGGAAGTGCTACAGAAAAGGCTGCTGTCATTAGCATGTCTACTTTCAAACCTCTTAAATTTCAACTTTGTGCATTTAAAATTGCAGAAAGGGCTGTGTATGCCTGTAACCCCAGTGACTTAAGAGGCTGAGGTAGGATTACAAGTTTGAAGCCAGGTTCAGCAAGTTAGAAAGAAAGACTTATCTCAAAAAATAAGGGCTGGGGATGTAGCTGAGTGGTAGGGCATTCCTGGATAATCCCCAGTACAATAAATAAGTGAATAAATTTGCAGACAGACTATAGAGGAAAATATGTTGCTTGCAGAGGATTAGTTTTGCAAACTGAAAAGTTAGTGCAAGGTCCCTTGTCCTCTCCTCTGGGATGTCAGAGATTGGGGGGTGGGTTGGGCTAGGTAGGGCACTCATGAGGTTCCAGTGCCCTGGTTGCAGGTTATCAGTGGTCAGCAACTCCCCAAAGTGAACAACACCAAAGAGAGGTCCATTGTGGACCCACTGGTGAGAGTGGAGATCTATGGCATCCGTCCAGACACAACCTGCCAGGAGACCAACTATGTGGAGAACAATGGTGAGACAGCAGTGCTGGGGAAGGAGGTGGTAGGAGTATAACTGTTGGTTCCCTTCCATACTGTCACCACCCACCCCTATAGCAGAAGGGCAGTATGGAATAGTACAGGGAATCCTGGCCTTCCATAGCTTCCAGTGACTTGGGAAAATTGCTTACACATTCTGAACCTGTTTCTTCACCTATATAATGCTGATTGACATCTAGATTAAGTGAGAATACAGGTAAAACAGTATGAGCCAAGAGAAGCTGGGCATGGTGGTGCATGCCTGTAATTCCAGCAACTTGGGAGGCTGAGGCAGGAGGATCTCAAGTTTGAGACCTGCCTTAGCAACTTAGCAAGACCCTATCTCAAGAAAAAAAAAAGGGGGTAGTGGGTTAGGGATATAGCTCAGTGGTAGAGTGCCCCTAGGTTCAATCCCTAGTACTACTAAGGAAAAAAAAAGTAAAATGTGTTTCATTCCTTCTTACCCGCCACCTCAGGTTTTAATCCCTACTGGGGTCAGACACTGTGCTTCCGGGTGCTGGTACCTGAACTTGCTATGCTGCGTTTTGTGGTTCAGGATTATGACTGGAAATCCCGAAATGACTTTATTGGTCAATATACCTTGCCATGGACCTGCATGAAACAAGGTGAGACAGTCCTTGGATCCTTGGCCAACACCCTGGCTCTGGCTGCCTCCCTAATGTTGTTGTCCTGCCCCTTTCCAGGTTACCGCCACATACACCTGCTCTCTAAAGATGGCATCAGCATCCACCCAGCTTCCATCTTTGTGTACATCTGCATCCGGGAAATGGAAGAGCCTCAACCTGGGGAGTCTGAATTCTGAGGTGGGTATTTCTCATAGTGTGGATGGGTATACTGGCTTTAGAGGGTGAAAGAACAACCTGGATGCTCCAGAAAGCAATTAGAAAAGGTGAAAATCTTTGGATTGTGCATTCCAGGCATATTACCTTGCCCTTCCTAACATGCAAATCTAGAACCTGACTTTTCACCTTTTTCTCTCCCTTTGTTTTCATGTCATTGGTATCTTTCCTGCCTTTTCTCTTTGTGTAGTCTATGCTGGAGTTCCCTCCTTCCTCTTGCTGTAGGCTCAGTCCCATACTCAGATCTACCACTAATCTCTCCCATCAACTCTGGCGCAAAAGCAAATTGCAACTAGAAACTCAGAGAGGAGCTTGGAGCAAAGAAACTTACAGAAGTATTATACCTTTAACTTCCTCAAAGCCCTGAGCCAAGGGAAGGATAAATCAAGGCTCCTCAGGCAAAGGCTGAGGAAGGAGACCTGACCCTAGGACTGTACCATGTCTCTCCAGAGAACAGCACACAGCCATGTCCCCACTGGGTTGCACCTCTCCAGCCCCCCTGGTGTTAATAAAGCTTCTCTCTCCAATTTGGCTCTGTTATGGTTATTGGGCAAGGGGAGGCATAAGGGTTGGGGGGACATTTGGGTAGTCGGATGAGTCAGAGAAAAGGTAGAAAACCAAGCTTTCCGGGGACATTCCTGCATGTGCTGAATAGGAAGGACACAAAAGAGAGGCTTCTGAGAGGTAGGGCAAAAGGAGACAAAGGTTTATGTGATCTGGCTCTCCTGGAAAGTTTGCCTAAAACAGTCCTGGTTTATAATCTGTTGAGTCCCAGCATAAATATTAATGGCATCTTCTTTGATTTTTCCAGAGTGTCTCAGTTCAGATGATCAAATACATAGTGAAGCAATTACACTGTGAGAATTCTGAATGAGAGATTTACTGTCCCAATCACCTGCCTTTTACAGTGCCTTTGTACTTTCACTCATAAGTGCAGTTGTGGGCCAGTCTAAGGATTTATGTTGAATTAAAGCTGCTTCTAAGAGGAGGCTTAGTGAGTGACAATCCTCCCTCTATACAAGCAGAAAGAGGGGCTTGGAAATAGGGAGAAAGTGAAAACATCAGGACAGGCTTAAGGACAGAGAAGGCAGACTTGGTTCTGTTTCAGAACTTGTTTCCGACTGAATACAGAAGAGATAAAGGAGGAGCAGAGGTCTAAGAGGGGACAGGGCAGATCAAGATCACAGCCTAGAAATGCCAAGTCAGGAGTTTGGATGAGTCTATAAGTTGGCAGTCATTCTGTTTGACATGCTTTATAGAGCATCAGGCATAATAGCACATGCAATTAGATACAACTGTTTTGAAGGTGCTGAAAGAAAATAAGATTTGATACAGTAAGAAGAGAAAAGAAGACAGAGTGGATAAAACCAAGATCTTATAGCCAGGGTCTCTAAGAAACTAGAAATTCACAGGTTAAAAACACTGCGCACTTCAAGAAGAAATCACTGTTTTGGTCCATGTCTCTCTCTCATATAGCTGTTCATTTCAAAGTACTATGTCCAGAGTCCTGGGGGTGGGGATGGGGGTGGTTTCCAGTCACACTGACACCGCAAAGCCAGTCCTTTCTTAGGCCCTGAGCTCCTCAGGCTAGCTCTGGTCCCAGTATGCACACCTCTTACCACACTTTCTTCCTGTCTTAGTGGTAGCAGACTCTCAGCCCTCAGGTCCAGTGGGAGGAGCAGCAGGAGCTGGAGGGTTGGGATCCTCCAGCTTTACATCATGTAGGTGCACTGTGGGGGTGGTGGGGTCTTTGCCCACACCCTGGTTTGGGTCAGCCTGCTCAGGGTGGTGCCTGCGCACGTGCTTGACCACCTGGAATTTCTGCTTGGCCTTGTAGCTGCAGAGGCGGCAGAAGAAGGGGTGGCGGTCTGTGTGGGTAAGGGCGTGATGGCGCAGGCCAGCAGCCCAGCGGAAAGCACGGTGGCACACATTGCACACGTAGGGTTTGGCCTCACTGTGCTTGCGAAGGTGGGTGCGCAGCAAGAAGCGCGTCTTGAAGGCCTTGCCACACTGCTCACACATGAAAGCCCGTGCTTCTCGATGCCGTGTCTCCCGGTGCACACGCAGTGCGTCAGCCCGGTTGGTGCAGTACTCACACTCGGAACACTGGTATGGCTTCAGTCCTAAATGCAGGGAATAAATCACCATCGAAGGGGGGACAGACAAGGCTCAATGGGTCATAAGAGTCACTGTGGATACATACTGGGATATAAACGACAGAAGTGGCAAGTTAACGACCATTATCTTTGGAATGTTCCAGTCTTGACATTCTTTCAACACACTCTTTGAATACATGGAAGCCCAATGATACTGATAACTAACTGGACCTCTAACCAACTAGCCATCTGATAGTAATGAGTACTCAAATATGGTAGGTTATCAAATGGGAAAGTCCAGCCCTCTTTTGGTCACAGAATTTGAAAACACACTTAAACACAGTTCCTTGTTCAACTCAAAAAGTCAAAGAAAATGTTAAAGAGGGAAGAGGTAAAAATGAAAGAAGCATCATTATAGAAGCAGAGGGTCTTGAAATGCACCTGATCTATTCCTCCACCTATGGGGGAACCATATGCAATAATCAAAGGCAATCATTACCCCTTTTCAGAGAAAACCATATGCAATAATCAAAAGGCAATCATTAACCTTTTTCAGAGAACCACATCAGCACAAAGGAGCCCTCCTCTTTCTCCTTCTTATTTGTGATAGTTCCATCATATCTGTATACAATCAGGTAGACCTGTCCTCAGTCACTCAAGTTTGAGTTGGGGTTCTCTATGGGGGGTGTGTGACCTTACACCACAATCCCTGAGAAATCTGCCAAGTACAGAGGCCAAGACTCTCAGGTTTACTCTGTCCTATTTCTGACAGGTATTCAGTGTGTACCATTCCGGTACACACACTCCCAGCCTACCTGAACCCTCAGTATAAAAATCAATGATGGCCCTGAATCTGGGCAAGGACATACACTACCTTGGTGAAGTCAAGTTTGATAGTGAATGGGAGAACCCTTTAACCCAAATCACAGACTCACCTGTGTGCTTGGTCATGTGATACTTGAGCTGGTTGACCCACTTGCACTTGTAGCCACATTCAGGACACAGGTACTTCCGTTCCTCCTTGTGTATCCGCATATGGTACTAGAAGAGGGAAGAGCAAAAAGCAGAACATGTGCTCCCTTTGGCACTCACTGGATATAGAAGCGGGGACAAGTAGGCAGAGAAACCATTGGTAGATAACCCTGCTCCTTGATCTCATCTCATCTCTACTTCCCTTACCAACTGGGTCCCTCATAATGGTCACTTTGTTATCAACCTTACCTATTCAGTCCCTCTCTAGGCTTTCCCTGACTATCTCAGTTCTGACACTGAGAGTCACTGGGTGAGCTAACCCATAATTCTCAGTCTACTAATCTGTAAGATGGGGAATAGAATAAGTATCTATATCTCTTTATTTTTGAAAAGATTAAAATCATGGTACTAGGCATTATAGTAACTGCTCATAAATGTTAGCGTTATTATCCAGATTATCCTCCCCCATTTTTTTTTTTTTTGTGGGGGGATCCTGGGCAGTTTACCACTGAGCTACATGTCCAGTCCTTTTTATTGAGATAAGGTCTTGCTAAATTCCAGAGGCTGATCTTGAACTTGTGATCCTCCTGCTTCAGACTCCCAGGTTGGTGGGATTACAGGTGTGCACTACCATGCACATATAAATCATTATGTCTTTATCACAAGGCAAGTCCTTGTTCTTCTTAAGCATGTATTAAAGATTATTATTATTTTTTTTTTTTTTTAAAGAGAGTGAGAGAGGAGAGAGAGAATTCTTAATATTTATTTTTTAGTTCTCGGCAGACACAACATCTTTGTTGGTATGTGGTGCTGAGGATCGAACCCGGGCCGCACGCATGCCAGGCGAGGGCGCTACCGCTTGAGCCACATCCCCAGCCCTAAAGATTATTTTTTTTAAATATTTATTTTTTAGTTATAGGTGGACACATATCTTGATTTATTTATTTATTTTTAAATATTTATTTTAGAAGTAGTTAAATACAATACCTTTATTTTATTTTTTTATTTTTATTTTTAGGATCAAACCCAGTGCCTTCTGCATGCTAGTCGAGTGCTCTCCCTTTGAGCCACAATCCCAGCCCCAAGAATTGTATTATTATATGACCCCATGAAGTTGGTAAATATCATCTCTTTTTTATAGATGGGGAGTCTGAGCCTTAAAGAGGATAAGGAACTTGTCCAATCACAGATCTAATATTTGGAAGGGTCAGGATTAAAGAAACTAGAGCCTGCATTCCTTCCATTCCCTGTCCCATAGCTCAGATCTTACCTTGAGGCGAGAGGGGTCAGCACAGGCATACGAGCAGAGGTGACAGCGGTAAGGCTTTTCCCCAGTGTGGATGCGGCTGTGCCATGTGATCTTCTGCCGGTTCTTGGTGCTATAAGCACAGTCAGTACACTTGTAGAGCCGAGTGCCCCCATGCCCTTTCACATGGTGATCTAGCACGAGCTGATGGCGACATGCAAAGTCACAAAAGGGGCAGCGCAGAGGGGGCTGGCCAGCATCCCCATTCGAGGCTGCTGGTGCAGCTGAAGTCTCTTCATGCTGTTCTAGGTAGTGCTTCACCAGACCTGCTCGCTCCCGGGCAGCAAAGTCACAGAGTTGGCAGCGGTGGCTGAAATGCTGCTGCCTCCGGTGCTCTTCCAGGGCTGGCCGGCTAGGGAAGGCCTCCTGGCAGGCCCCACATTCCAGCCGTGGATGCTGCTTACGGGTATGTCCCCGCAGGCTTGCGAGGTTGGGGCACAGCAGGCCACAGCGGGAGCAGTTTAGGGGCCCCTCAGTGGCCTCTGCAGGAGAGCCAGGGGCAGGGTTTAGGGGCTCAGGGTGTCGGCGCAGAGCATGCTGCTTAAGTGCTGTCTCTGAGCTGAATTGGGCCTCACACTGGGAGCAGGCAAAGGCTGGGGTGCCCTGGTGGCAGCTGTTGACATGGCGAGTGATATCATGGCGAAGGTAGCCACTATAGTCACAGAGTGGACAGAAGTGGGTGGGTGTTTTGTCATGTACCCTTAACCGATGCAGGCGCAGTTTCGAGTTGGTACCAAATGTCTGAGGGCAGGAGCTGCAGGGGATACGGCCAACACCTGTGTGTCTGGACTGGTGAGCCTCTAATCGGTACCGTCTGGTGGTAGAAAAGTCACAGAAGGGACACTGGTGTGGCTTCACTCCTTCATGCTTGAGTTGCCGATGCTGCTGCAGGCACCGATTCTGTTTACAGGTGAAGCCACAGTCCCCACACTGCAGGGGAGGCCGGGGGCCACGGGTTGAGATTGTAGTAGGGTGTCTCCGTTTCTGGTGGAGTCTCAGGGCAGCAGCAGCAGGAGCAATGAATGGACAGAGGCCACAGTGCAGCTCTCCAGACATCCCAAGGGGGCAGCCCTTAGTCTGATGAGTCCTCAGGGCCCGTTCCTGCTGGCAGCGAAAAGGACATGTGGGGCAGGAGAAGAGGGCCCCCTTCTGCTTCTGAGTTAGAGTTGTGTCCCCATTACTAGGGCTGGACTGTGCATTCCTATTACTCAGGGGAGCAGAATTCTCATTGTTCTGCAGGGAAAGAGAAGACTGGGTTTGAGGCAAACCTCGCTTTCCTCCCCGGCCACGTCCCCCTCGGCAGCCTTCAGCCACATGAGAGGTAATAGAGGAGAGTCGAGAACAAAGGAACATGCATGAGTTGCAGCGAAATTTGCCCTGCTCAAAGTAGAACTTCTCTGGGGTCTCTGTGGGTGAGGAGTTCCCTATAGGAGGGGCTGGGGAAATAGAGGGTGTGGTGAGAGGCTCCTCTACTTCCGGCTCCCTGGTAACTTCAGAAGGAGCATCTTTTGAAAGCAACAGCTCTACTTCTAATGGTACAGGTGGGGGCTTCCCACCTTTGGCATCCTCTGAGGCCTCGGTGTCTGGGAGCTGAGGATGCAGGGGGATGGGAGTGTCTGCTCTAGACAAGCCCTTGTTCTTCTTAAGCAAAACAGGGCACTTCTTCAGCAGATGGGTGCTGAGTCCACGTTGTTGCTTAAAGCTTGTCCCACACTCAGGGCATAGCAGGGGCTCTCGGCGGGCCTGGCACCCTGTTCTGGAGTGCAGGTTCAAAGCCTTCTCCCGGCGAGTGATAAAAGGGCAGTGTGGGCAGCGGAAGGCTCGCCCCTCTCCCTGGATCACTACCATCTGCACGCGCCCCTCCAGTACTAGGGCCTCTGCTTGCTCTTTGTCCTGTTTCCGTAGGGCCTTCAGTAATGACTCTGTCTCGGGCAACTGAGGCAAAGGTGCCGTCTCAGCAGGTGCAGTTACTTTGAAGGTTCCGACCCAGCTATTAGGGGCCTCCTCTGAGGATGAAGGATTTCTGGGGGACTCAGACTCTGGTTTCTCCAGAATGGGCTCTTCTTCAGCACCCAAGCCAGGAGTTCCAACACTTTCAAAGCTGGACAGCACAGGTCCTTCCAGTCCTAGGGGCACTGAGGCATCCAGGGGCCTGAACTCCACAGGGGCTGTTTCAGTGAGTTCCTCGAGAGATGGCTCAGACACAGGTTCCAGCTCTACTCCCAGGGCCTCTAAGTGTAGCGTGCAGCTGCCCTCCTCCACTTCTGCTGGGCTGGAGCTGCCAACCAGGTCATTCCCATGGGAAGCCTCACTGCCATCCTGTCTCTGAGTGATGACCTCCTCACTTGTCTCTGGCAGAGCCTGATCCAAGGTGGGATCCATGTCAGGCTTGTGGCCTGGTCCCTCAGGCTGGGCAGATAGCTGGCTTGAAGGCTCTGAGTCTGGTGGTGGTGTCAGTGACTGCCTTGCTCCAGGCTCTTGGCTGGTATCACGGAGCTGCCAGACCTGGTCTCCAGGCACATAGCCATGGGCCTTGCGCTTGTGGAAGAAAAGTGTGGTGTTGCTGAAGGTACGGTAGTCACAGAGGGCACAGTGGAACTCACGGAGACGGGTGTGCTTGCAGTTCTCATGGCTCAGCAGGGCCTGCTTGTGGCGGCTCTGGTAGTTGCAGTAGCGGCAGGGGTAGAGTGGGGCTGGTGTGCCAGGGTGGTGCTGGGAAGCCATATGCTTCTGCAACTCATACTTTCGCTTGCAGGCAAAGGCACATACCTCACACATCAGGGACTTGCCCTGGTGCCTCAGCTTGTGGCTGCTCAGCTGATCAGCCCGATGGCAGCGATAAGAGCACTGGTTGCACTGGTATCTGACAAGGAGGAAAAGAGGGTGATCACAAGGAGGCAGGAGCTAAAAGTCTCTGAATAAATACTTTCCATGGCAGGCTTTAAACTCTGTATTGTACATTCATCATCTAATTTAACCCACCTTTTTACTACCCCATGAAACAGGCATTTCTGTTTTACAAATGAGGAAGTCAAGGCATGAAAGTTAATAACCTGTTTGAGGTTTGTTCCAAAAGAAGCGAGGCAGAGACAGCTTAACTTCAGGGCTGGTGTTCTAAGACCTACTCTCTACTGCTTCCTCAAGGAAAGTAATAATGGGTCAGTACCATCCACTGACATGAATACAGCATTTCAAGACAGGTTTCTATGTCTAGGTCCCATTTTCCCAAGGAAGCATGAAAGCTCCTACCAGCTTCCTGGATTAGGAAGTAGCTAGGATGGCACCATAAATAGAGATCCTATCCACTTTCTCAGGACCAGTCTATGAGAACATAAGTACACTTTAGTCTCTAGGCTTTTCCTCTAGGTCTAAACTCTCTCCCCTGGGCTCAGAGAGTGCTCACTATGCAATTGGGCTACAGGCACAGGGGCTAGCCACCTGTAGGTGATAGAGTTGAGATGGAGGGAGCAGAGGGCATTAGGAGGAACTCTCCAGCAAATGGAAAAAGCAGTGGGGCTAGAAGTTGGATCTAAGAGAAGACTAACTTGGCATAAGGTTCTTGGGATAGGGACAATGGCATGTGTGTGTTTGTACCTGAGGTCCCCGGCATGTTTTCGCATGTGCACGCTGAGGTAGTGCTTCCACTTGGTGACATAACCGCATTCAGTGCACATGTAATCCTTGGTGTTGGAGTGGGTGAGCATGTGCTTAGATAGGTAGCTTACATCTCGACAGGTGAAGTCACACAGCTCACACTTGTGAGGTTTCTCACCTTATATGGGAAGTGGAGATGAGAGGGGAGGACATATGTCAGACACAGATCACATGTGTGGCCAGACCATTTCCTCTAGCAAGTTTGCCCTGATGCCAGGCAGGGGCAAAAACTTCACATGTAACTTGAGATACTAAAAGCCTCACAACAATCAAGAATGCTTCATAGCCCTGTCAGACAACTATTCCCCAAACTCCTAAACAAATGGAAAGGAGAAAGACTGAGCTTTTCAAAACTAGGTCTGAAGTCCATTCTTGATTTGTTACATAGCTTACTGGCATTAATGACCAGTTGTTCCATTTAGACCATTCCTTTCAGTTTTCTGGAACAGAGAGAAAAAAATCAGGTAACAGAACAGTAGTTAGAACTGACTAGCTGAGTGCAATGGAGTATGCCTATAATCCAAGCAATTGGGAGGCTGAAGCAAAAGGATTACAAGTTCAAAGCCAGTCCTGGCAACTTAGTAAGACCCTGTCTCAAAATAAAGGGCTGGGGATGTGGCTCAAGCGGTAGTGCGCTCGCCTGGCATGCATGTGGCCCGGGTTCAATCCTCAGCACCGCATACAAACAAAGATGTTGTGTCCGCCGAAAACTGAAAAATAAATATTAAAAAAAATTGAAAAATAAAATAAAATAAATAAAAGGGCTAGGAATGAAGCTCAGTGGTAGAGCACCCTGGGTTCATCCCGTTTCAAAAACAAACAAACCAACAAACAACAACAAAAAACCTTATCTCTGGATTTCAATATTATAGTAAGTATTAATGCCCGACTACAGGCATTAATATTTGCATAGTACCCACTATGGGCCAGGCACCTTTCTGGGCACTTACAAAAATGTCTTCTCACGGGGCTAGGGTTGTGGCTCAGCCGTAGAGCACCCGCCTCACATGTGCAAGACCCTGGGTTCAATCCTCAGCAGCATATAAAAATAAATAAAGGTATTGTGACCAACTACAAAAAAAAAAAGTCTCCTCACTAAATCTTCATAACATGCCTATAAGGCAGGTACTATTATCACTCTCATTTTATAGATGAGGAAATTGAGGCACAGAGAAATCAGAGAGTTATTAAGTGGTGGTTCCTACTATGTGTCTCAGTTTCCTGGTCTTTAAAAAGGGAGCAACAAAAAATACTGACCTCTTATGGCTCATGTGAACATTAAATGAGATATCCCAAAGTTGTCAGTGGTTCTGAGTGAATTCAAGGATGGGGTGTCCAAGTAGTTGATCAAGACCAGGAAGGGGGCCTTGTTCTACCCAGCCCCCTTCCCCGTGGTGAAATGCAAGCAACATGGCATGCTAGTTCTGATTCTGAAACTAACTGTGAGACCTTAAAGTAGGTCTAAATTTAACTTCCCATAGTTTGTCTCTTTTCTTGTCTTTTACCTGTCTTGCTCACAAGATTGATATATGGGATAGCACACATGAAAGATTTTGGAAACCATACAGATGTAAGTTTTAGGAAAGGCCTCAGAAACAAGAAATCTTATAAAAAATCATGTAAAGAAATGAACTATTCAATGGGAACAACAGTGGCTTTGTGCCCCAAATTGTCTAAAAAACTCTCCTCCCAAACCAGATTTGTTTCCCTAGTAGTGGGAATTGAACTCAGGGACTCACACAAAAGGGCATGGGTCTCCTACCACTGACCTGCATCCCTAGCTCTTTTTATTTTTTGAGACAGGGTCTCATTAAGTTGCTGACGCTGGTCTCAAACTTGTGATCTCCTGCTTCAACTTCTCCAGTCGCTGGGATTACAGGAGTGTGTTACCATGCCTGACATGGTGAAAAGTTTCTTAATGTACTCTTGACACACTGGTATTTATATAGATTCCAAAGGGGATGATGCTATAGCAGGAAGCACGATTTTGTTGTTATTTAGCATCTAAAATGCTAGCAATGGATTGAAAAATCTGAGGTGAGGGCTGGGGATGTGGCTCAGGCGGTAGCGCGCTCGCCTCGCATGCGTGCGGCCCGGGTTCGATCCTCAGCACCACATACCAACAAAGATGTTGTGTCCGCAGATAACTAGAAAATAAATATTGAAAATTCTCTCTCTCCTCTCTCACTCTCTCTTTAAAAAAAAAAAAAATCTGAGGTGAAACAAATACAACTTCCAGGTCATTAGGGATGATCTTATTTCAGTGTCATGAATGCCCTAACTTTGGAAGCCCTTGTGTATGTATGTTCAGTCACCTTGCCTCCTGTCTCTCACAGCATATCCCCAAACTTGAATTGAAAAGGAAGGCATCTGTCCTGGTCTGGGTTTCTTTATTCTAATAGGCTAGGTGGTCATCATCCCATGCCTAAGGATGATGCATAACTGTATTGCGGTTAGAGCACAGGCTGTGGACTCAGACTGCCTAGATTCACATCCTAGCCTGACCACTTTATTTAAATGACACTCAATTTATGGCTCATTTGTAAACTTGGGATACTAAAGCAGTGCTTAGGAATTCTAGGCCAAGTGAAACAATGTATGTAAGGCCCTTCCAGTGATGTCTGGTACACAGTAAAAGCTTATGTTAGACACATCACCACCATCATCATCATTACATTATCTCAAGGATGGATGGAAGCTATCTCACCAGTATGCAGCAGCATATGTCGGATGAGCACCCTCTTGTGGGCAGTGGCAAAGTTGCACTCAGGGCATTGGTGAATTTTCTCATGAGCATGCATCTTGCCTACATGGTCCTGGTAGGCCACTGGGTTAAAGGTGGCAAAGGGACAGAAGGTACAGCGCAGTTCTTCGCTGCCAGGGTGGCCTTGCTTCTTGTGTTTGCGGAACAAGTGCTTGTTAGAACAGGCAAAGTCACAGTGGGGACAGTGGAAAGCATAGTGGCTCTTGTGATGGGCCTCCATGGCTTCAGCTGTGGCAAAGAGCATGGGACATGAGTGATGGCGGCACTCCACAGCCCGCACCCCATGGGTCTCCTTCAGGTGCTTTACAAAGGCCTTGCGATCAGGGGCTGCATAGCTGCAGCCCTCCTGAAAACAGGGCAGGGGTAAAGGCTCTGCTGCGGCTGCTACTGTGTGGTTCTTGAGGTGCTCCTTGAGTGCCTGGCTGAGGCGGAATTCCTCACGGCAGACAGGACAGACATAGGTGTCTGAGTAGAAGTTAGAAATATCCTCATGCATGCTAGCCATGTGGCGGTTGAGTGCATTTCTCTCCACTGCACTGTACTGACACAGTGGGCAGCGGTGGGCCTTCTCGCCCAGCTCCCGCAGCAGATGGGTCTTGAGTTTGCTTTTACTGGTGAAGAACTTCTGGCAGTTGGGGCACTGGAGGGTGGGGTCTGGGAAGTGGAGATGCAGGTGCTCTACCAGATGGGTCCGCTTCTTAAAGCAGCGTTTGCACTCTGGGCACATGTGTGTCTTGAAGAGGCATTCCGTGCTAGAAGTCACATCCCCTGGGGGGATGGAATACAGAGAGGTAAGAGCAATATTCTTCAACAGCCCAGATGCAAACCTTTTGTGGTGTCTCCAAGAACCCAAACAATAGATTCAAAACACTGTAGCCTCAAAGAGGGAGAAACTCAAAAGTATTAAGAGAAACCAAAACACAGGGACTTCTCAGGCCTGTTTCAAGTGCTTCTCTCAGTCATCCAACGTTCTTGAGCCTCTCTTTAGAGCAGCTCAAAAGAACAACCTGGATGGACCATTCTTGTTCTTGCCTGCTATAGGTGTAGGGAGAGGTGTCAGGGTTGGATAGAAGGAAAAAAGTCCCAAAGGGAATGAGCAAAAGGGAAGATGATAAAATACTCTTACTTCTGAACCCTAGTTCAATGGGCTCTAGATAATAGTGAGCTGATAATAAATATAGTCAGATCTTTCCTATTCACCTGACAGTAAATATGCTCCCTATGGGAATGGTTTCAGAGAGACTATTGAGCTGAAAACCTGGGAAGCAAAGATTCAGAAAAAAGTCCCTAAGAAGCTCAATACCAGGCAAAAGGGGCTGCTGGTAATCAATAACCTCTGGTATCTTTATATTATGGCATCACAATTTCCATTTTGCAAAAGTGCTTTCTACTTGAGGAAAACTAGCCTAGAACAAATTCTATTTACCTCTACCCTGTGTTACTGGAATCTTGAGTCTGTTGAACATTTTCCACTTGACTTTTGAGTCAAGGCAGAATAAAAGGAATGATCTGAACCAAAGGTTAGAAACCCAAACCCTAGAGCCTCCATGTCAGCTTCTCCACTATCTATTCCTCCCTACCATCGAGAGCTTCAAGCTTACTCATGATGTCATTACCTTCAAACTGCTGAGCCCCTTGGTCATTATCCAGAGCTTTCTGAGAGACCTTCTGGGTGCCACTTTCTTCTTCCTCTACTTCTTCCTCCTCAGCTGACACCTGCCCAGGCACAGTTGTATCTGTTTCCTCTGAAGGTTCTCCTTCTCCTGGAGGCAGTTTGGGAGCTGGAGACACATAAAATTTAATGAAGTCCATAGGGAGCCAATAACAGCACTAAATGCTGTATTTCTCCATTTACTGCTTAGCAGAATCACCCCCTCCCCTTTAAGCAGAAGGGAATTTTGGGTTGTAAATAGTTAAGTATATGCCCAATCAAGACAGGGATATGAACTAGGAGTTAAGCTACCAGTAGTAATCACTTTAAAGTAAATCAAATCTCAGATAATAGCAGCCTCAGACCCCTTGAAGCCTAGAGTTTTGAGGTCACTGGGGTCATAGGGACTGAGAGGTAGAGAAGGGCAGATTATATTTCTTTGGTTCAGGTTCCCAGGGATAAAGGCTGGGTTGGCTCAGTGCAGGTGAATATACCCTTACAGCTCAATTGTTCTATTGAGAAATTCAACTTAGTGAGTCAAGACCACATCTTGCTCCTCAAATGTATCCCTTTATCCCTCAACAGCTGACTCTGACTAAAAGTATGACTGGTTCCCAGGAAAACAGTCTTCTTTAGGCCCTAGACCTTGAGTGGATCTCAGCAAGCCAAATTCTCTCATCATAAATCTGTCCTCTTCTGGGCCTCTTTTCTCTCACTTATTTCTCTACTCACCCAACATTGGGGATTTTTGTTGTTGTTGTTGCTATTATTATTGTTTTTTGAGATTAAAGAAATAGGAATTAATAAAGTGCCATTCCTCTTGAAGGTTCCTTTTAAAAATAACCCCAGCTTCTCCTGCCCAATCTCTTTTGCTCTATAGGGAGTCTACAGGCATTTGTGGCTACAGTGGTGGGCACTTTTACTTTTGTCCTTAGAAAGTAAGTTCTGAAATCGAAAATGTTGCTTAAGTAACTTCAGGTCACATGTAGATGAAGCCGAATTTCACTCAGTGTCGTGGACCAAGACTTCCTCTTTATTCCGTGTATTCTAAATGAGTCAAGGTTTCTAGATGCTTTTCTATCCTTCTCCAGGAATTCTATCCTCCTGACTTTCTGTTTAAAAAGTCATTCATGGCACTGGAAATAAGTGTGTCTTCTATAAGATCAACTGTGGCTATATTTTAGGCAGGGCACTGATGGATCCCTGGCTTCATTCATACCTGGTGGCAGCTCCTGGGATGGAAGGCCCTGAACAGCAGAAAGTTCTCCCTGTGTCACAGCTCCATGGCTCCGCTGATGCTGCCGGAAGAGTTTGATGTTGGAGCCTATGAAGCTGCAATGGTTGCAGTGGAAAGGGTAATGGGTCTGCCGGTGCAGTTCCATGCCCTGCTGGCTCCCAAAAAGTAGGGAGCAGCCTCGGAAAGAACATGGCACAGGGACTGCTCTGTGGTTCTGCCTCAGGTGGTGCTGCAGACCTTTGCGATCTTCAGCAGAGAACACACAGCCAGACTCTGGGCAGGAGAAGGTGTCAGGAGTGGCCCGGTGAATCTTGAAGTGGTTCTTCAGGGCCTGTGGTTGGGCAAACTCCTGTCTACATACAGGACATGATAGGGGGCTATCTGTCAGACTTTGGCCCTGCAGAGGGCCATGGAGGGTGAGGTTGTTGGAGGGCAGTTCTACAGAGCCTGGGGGGCTAGACAGGCCCTGCACAGACTGTATGTGGGTCTCACTGCACTGGTGTAGGGACAGCAGAGTGGGCTCTGCGAAGCTCTGTTCACAGCGCTCACAGAAGTACACCTCCACCACCTTTACCAGGACACCTGCAGGCAGAGGACCGACAGAGAAAGGAATAGAATCAGATCGAACAAGACTCATAGGAGTTAGTTACTAATAGAAACGTAGGTGAATCTGTTATATTCACTGAATGCATATGGACTTCAAGACTGGCTCTGCAGACTATAAGCCCATAGATCAGGGTCAGTCTATCTGGTACATGTGTTTGTATTCCTAGTAGCTAACATAATAACTGGCACAAGATGGGTGCTTAATAACTGTGTTCAATGAATGAACAAACATCAATGTAATCTAGGAAGCATTAAGGCAATAATAGATTAAAAACTTCCAAAAGAGAACAATGACAACTAGAGAGATGTATCTGCAATATATATGCAATATAAAAATATCTGTAATAAATGACATATACGTGCAGTATCAAAATATCTGTAATAAATGATACAGGACTGTCCTACATTTATTCTGTGGGTCCTTTTTTTCTTTTTAATTGTTTTTTAAAAAGTTCAATGCAGGGCTCAAGTGGTAGCATGCTTGTCTAGCATGTGTGAGGCACTGGGTTCGATTCTCAGCACCACATAAAAATAAAATAAAGATATTGTGTCCACCTAAAACTAAAAAATAAATATAAAAAAAAAAGTTCAATGCAACAATTTAAATGATAAGAAGTATGCAAAGGAATAACTATCCCCACAGTCTGGTCTCTTTTTGGTACCAGGGATTGGCTGCAGGGGTGCTTAACCACTGAGCAACACCCCTAGCTCTTTTTATTTTGAGATAGGGTCTCACTAAGTTGCTTAGAGCCTGGATAAATTGCTGAAGCTGGCTTTAAACTTATAATCGATCCTCCTGCTTCAGCCTCCTTGAGTTGCTAGTCTCTAACTTTTCAGGCTTTTTTTAAAAAAAAAAAAAAGATGGGGGTCTTGCTATATTGCCCAGGCTGGACTGAAACTCATGATCCTCCAGTATCAGTCTCCTGAGAACAGGTGTGTGCCACCAAACCCAGTTTCTTCCAGCCCTTTTGTGGTCATTATCCTACAATTTGCTTTTTTAAAAAATTTTTTTCTTGTCTCACTTGCTGTATAACAATGACATTTTATCTATCAATAAATCTGTTTCATATTTTTGTCCAGTTCATGGAATTTCAAAACACTGATAAATCAAACCAGTACAAATAAAGCTTCCCTACGTAACCCCATCCTCATGTGCATGTGTATTTTTCTATAAGACAGAGTCCTAGAATAGAATTACTGGGTAGAGTATGCACATTGTAAACCTTGCTATGTAGCTAAACTAACCTTCAAAAAATATATTAATTTATATTTGCCATAATTTGTAATTCACAGTCTCACCAACATTACACAAATTGTTTAACTTTTAATTTTTTGTTTAAGGTATTACCTAAATTGTTTAACTTTTGCCAAAGTTGAGAAACAAAATGTCACCAACCTTGGAGCTTGAGAACAGGGTCTTGCTAAGTTGTCGAGGTCTAGCTAAATTGCTGAGAGTAGCCTTGAACTTGTGATTCTCCTGCCTTAGCCTCTTAAATGTCTGAGACTACAAGTGTGCACCACTGTGCCCAGCTCATATAGTTACTAATTAATTTATTTTTTGGATACTAGAGATTGAATTCAGGAGCACTCGATTACTAAGCCATATCCTCACCCCTATTTTGTATTTTATTTAGAGACAGGTTTTCACTGAGTTGCTTAGTGCCTCTCTTTTGCTTAGGCTGGCTTTAAACTCATGATCCTCCTGCCTCAGTCTCCTGAGCCACTGGGATTATAAGTGTGTGCCCATGTGCCCAGTCTCATATAGTTATTTTTAACTATGGAATTTATTTATGTGAGATTAAGCATCCTTCATACATTTATTGACTATATTTACTTCTTATTTAGCAAAGCAAAGAGAAATTTCTTTTTTACTTTCTTGAAAACTATTTTTCTTATTGTGCAGATCTTTGAATTTTAAAGATATTAACTCTTTTTTATATATTACCAATTTTTGTTTTGTTGTTGTTGTTTCACTGCAGAGAAGGTTAGAAATACTATATGGTCAAATTAGCCAATCTTTCCCAGTATTCTTTGTTACTACATTACATTGCCAAGGAAGTGGTGAAAACTACAGCTAGAGGATGACAGTTTAAAAATAGGTAAGTTTGGGGCTGGAGATGTGGCTCAGCGGTAGCGCGCTCGTCTGGCATGCGTGCGGCCCGGGTTCGATCCCCAGCACCACATACCAACAAAGATGTTGTGTCCGCCGAGAACTAAAAAATAAATATTAAAAATTCTCTCTCTCTCTCCTCTCTCACTCTCTCTTTAAAAAAAAAAAAAATAGGTAAGTTTCAGAAAAATAGGAAGTTGTAGGAAAAGGGGGATTATCTTTCTCCTAGGATAAAAATGCTCAACTGTAGTTATATTTGTAGTACTTTTGGGGACTTGAACCTGGGGCCTTGAACATGCCAGGTAAGACCTCTACAACTGAGTTATATCCCCAGCCCCATTTTTAATTTTATTTTTGAGTCAGGGTCAACAAGTTGCCCACATGGGCCTCAAACTTTCAATCTTCCTGCCTTAGCCATGTGTACCACCTTGCCCAGCTCAACCCTTCCTCTTAACATGCTTTGAATGAGTGAAGTACATTATACACAGGAAGTTAGGGCAAGGAATTACCAGTTACCTTTGGAAAGCCCTGCCAACTACAGGGTGGGAGGCAGGCTGGGCTTCTGCCTAATCCCTGGCTGCAGTTTCTGGGTGTAAGGTCAATATGGGTAAAGAATCTGTGAAGATTGTTAAGAGTAAGGGCAAGCCAGGATCGGGCAGGTGTCAGAAAGGTCTTCCCTTGTGGATCCTGCCTAGCAGACAAGAATCCCTTAAAGGACAGACTTTGCCAAAAGCTTGGTTCAAGATTGTGCAGTAATCTGCCAGCCTTCCATCATCCGGCTCCAATTGCAAACCAAAATACAACATCTCAAAGTATAAAAATAGCATACTATTTTATGCTCCAATCATATTCATACAGAAGGATAAAAATATAACACACAAAACCTCAAGGCTGCCTGCCTGTCCCACTAGCCTGCTAACAACTCTTTGTACCTGGGGTCTCTTCAGGAGCTCCTGTGGATAGGGTTCCAGCTACTGTTTCCACAATGATCTCCATGTTCCCTGGGCCCTCTTCATTAGCTGTGGCCTCTACCAGCAGGCAGTCTGGGTCAGCAGGCAAAGATGCAGTGTCCCCAGAAGGACAGGTGCTCTGGTCAGGTCCCAGAATTCCACGGTCAGAGAGAGGTGGGGGGATCAGCAATAGCTCAGGACACAGTCCATCCATCTCCACAGTACTGTTGGCTGGCTATGAGTCCAACACAGGGTCTGTCATCACCATTGATTTGTGTGCTGTGGCCTCTTAAATGCTGACAAACCAACCAAAAGAAAAACAAAATGTGATTAGAGCTCTCATTTTTTTCCCAGTTTGTGTGTGTACACAGCCCAGTGCCCTCCAACTTAGGCATTTTTTTAAAAATTTATTTATTTATTTTTTTAAAGAGAGAGTGAGAGAGGAGAGAGAGTGAGAGAGAGAGAATTTTTAATATTTATTTTTTAGTTCTCGGTGGACACAACATCTTTGTTGGTATGTGGTGCTGAGGATAGAACCTGGGCCGCACGCATGCCAGGCGAGCGCGCTACCGCTTGAGCCACATCCCCAGCCCCCTTAGGCATTTTCTTTATGGCAGCATGTTCAGAACAAAATGTATAAAAATAATAGGGTCAATGGGCTGGGGTTGTAGCTCAGTGGTAGAGCACTTGCCTTGCATTCGTGAGGCACTGGGTTCAATCCTTAGCACCACATAAAAATAAATAAATAAAATGCAGATATTGTGTCCAACTACAACTAAAACAAATTTTAAAAAAATATAATAGGGTCATAGGGTTAGAAATGATGGTGGAATGTGATGCCCATTATTATCCAAAGTACATGTATGAACACACGAATTGGTGTGAATATACTTTGTATACAACTAGAGATATGAAAAATTGTGCTTTATATGTGTAATAAGAATTATAATGCATTCTGCTGTTATATATAAACATTAATTTAAAAAGATTTAGTTTACATAAAAAATATATGTATAGAGTCAATATTAGGAGAAAGCCAACAAGTTTTGGTCAACATAAGAAACATATCAGGTTATGTTTCTTGATACGAAGTGAGTCAAATCTTAAACTAAGTTTTAGTTTTCAAAATTGGGTGGGGCCAAAGGATTTCAAATGCCCTTTCCGTTTTTTTTTTTTGGTACTGGGGATTGAATCCACAGGTGTTTAACCACTGAACCACATCCCCAGCTCTTTAAAAAAAAGGGTCTCACCTCTTTAAAAAAAAGGGTCTCACTGAGTTGCTTAGTGTCTTGCCAACTTGTTATGGCTGGTTTTGAACTCACAATTCTCCTGCCTCAGCCTCCTGAGCCTCTGGGATTACAGGCATGAGCCACCATGCCCAGTTCCCTTTTGTTTCTTGATGCTCTCATTCCTCAGTGAGGTTATAGGGCCTTTCTATCACAATCTGGTTCTTGCTGATTTCTCCAGGCATGGTTTCCACCTCTGCCCTCAACAGACCTCTGAACCTGATGATGTGCCATTCTCTGGAGGCACCATACTCTCTTTTATTGGCATACCTTTTTACCTCTCAGCTTGATGCACTTGTTCAATCTCTTCTCTGGCTAATCAGTGCCTTACTGTCCTTTAAGAAGCTACACAGGGCTGGGGTTGTGGCTCAGTGGTAGAGCACTTGCCTCACATGTGTGAGGCAATGGGTTCGATCCTCAGACCACATAAAAATGAATAAATAAAATAAAGATATTGTGTCCATGTAAACTAAAAAAAATTTTTTAAAAAGAAGCTACACAAATGTCATTTCCATTCTGAAGACTTCCTGACACTCTTATTTTCAGTCTTCAGGGGTCCTGATGGTACATTGTACATATCAGAAACTCTGTCACGCTGCACTGTTGTTTACCGATCAGTTTCTCTTCCTGATGTGGAACTTTCTGAGTAGATTTTACTGACATCACTTCAATGAACACAAACCACCAATAAACTATGCAAGTCAGACAAGTAGATACTAGTGAAGAACCACTGAGAGGGAGGGACATCAGAGTAAAGTATATTGTACCAACGTATGAAACCAATGGTTCCTCACATAAAGAAACACACCAAGAAATTTCAAACTCATTAAGGTCTCAAACTGGAATACAACCAAGAAACCAATAGAAACCAACTGTATATCCCATTACACACGAATTTTAAGCCAAGTAATTTTTGTAATTCATAAGAATGACAATCATTTCATGAAATTGAGTCAGACTCAACTCAAAACAACAGATCACAAAGGTGACAGGGAGGTGCACTTCCAAGGTCCAAAGGAATATCTTTGGAAACCGGCTTACTGTCCGTTAACTCGTCTCTGGGAGATCTTCCGGCTCGGCAGTACACCGCCTCAGGGGAGAGCCAAGAGGACTTGGCGCTGTCTACACTGAGAACCTTCACCCGCAGGAAGGCGGGGGGGGGGKGGGGGGCAGGCGCGAAGGGAATCTGTCTTCCGGGCGACGGCAGGGCAGTGAGGAAAAGGAAGGTCAAATTAAGGGAGAGGAAAGGCTTGGGGAAACAAGGAGCCACTAAGTATACGGGTTACCACCTGCCGCTGGGCGGACTCACCGCGTGGCCCTGGACAGATGCAGTCGCCACGCTTCTCTGGGCCTCAGCTTTCCTCTCTGAAAAGTGGAGGCGATGACAGCATCCACACTGTTGGACGGGAGCTGGCGCACAAGAGCCACAGAACGAGAAAGATGTTTTGTAATCTGCAAGGTTTGGGATGGAGCACCACCATGACTGTGGTCCCGAGGAGCGGTAGCGGGTACCCGGGTGGGGTCCAGAGTGGTGACGCGGCTGAGACGCCGAGCGGCCGCTGAGATGCGCCGGGGCCCCCCTCGTAGGCGTGTTTCTTTCAGCACCTCCTCCCTCGGGTCCCCACTGTCCAGGTCCACTTCCATCCTGGAACTCGAGAAACTTTTGCCTCCAGCTCTCTCCACCCAAACTCCCCCCAGATCCCGCCTCGCAGCTGCTCACTCACCTCTAGACCCACCGCCGGCGGAAACAGCATCTCTATGGTCGAAAGCGGCTGGAGCGACCTCCCAGGGCTCCTTTTGTACTACCGCCCCCGGCCCAGCCGCCTCTAGGACAACGGGCATATGGCGGCCACTCTATCTACCTCTTGTTGGCTGGTGGGTACTCTATGGTTTTCTCTCCTCTCTCCACCTTTTCCCTGAAGCCAAAGAAGGACCATCGAGAGTTGTGGGGGCAGAGTGGCAAGAAGTTCTTGGTGGGCGTGGCAGGAAGTAGATTAAAAAATTCGGGGGGCGGGACCGAACGGCGCTTCCCCAAAGTTCGGCTGGGCGAAACCATCGAGACGAAGGGCCAGAGAGTCATGGCGGTAAGGGGGTGGAGTGACTGAGAACTCCAAACCATGTTCCTGGAGGCTCGAGCCTTGGTGTAGAGAGGGGTTCCGTAGGGTTTCTGGGTGTCTGGACCGCGAAAGAGGAGAGCTTTGTGATCTTCCATGGGTGTTTTGGAATTCTGGATCCCATTCTGAGCCTTAACCGAGGTTCCTGCTGTCAATTCGCTGCTCTGCGTGCCAGGGGCAGGGCAAAGTGGCAGGAATGGAGTGAGGTGGGGTGTCGGAAGAGTGCTAAAAACTATTTGGCTTCCCATTCCTCATGATTTTTTCCCGGCGCTGATAATTGAACCCAGGGGCACTTTACCACTGAGCTATATCCCCAGCCCTTTTTTGAGACAGGGTTCTCCACCAGTTGCTTAGGATCTCCATAAGTTGCTGAGGCTGGCCTTGAACTTGCGATCCTCCTGCCTTATCTTGCCGAGTCGCTAGAATTACAGGTGTGCGCCACCACTGCCGGCTTCATGATCTTATTATCTACAATTAGACCTAGTCAAATCTTATTAGGTTGAATTTGGGAAAGACTCCATGGGCGAAATAGCAGGTGGGCAGGATTTCATTTGGGGAAAATGCAGGGAGAATTGCTTGAGGAAGGAGGTGGGAGGTGTTTTGCTTATTTGTTGGATAAGGAGTATTAAGAGTTAAGCCAAGAAAGGTAGGTGGGTGGCTGTTGTGAAGGGTTTTGAGTACCAGACTGAGGAGTTTGTACCCAATTCAGGGATCTATTAGAAACCAACCACTGAAAGTGCTGGAGTAGGGAGAATTCGGATCCTTATGATGAACGATCTGGATCTTTGCAGCTGTTTGGTGATACAAGAGTTGAAGATCCATTAAAATGCCACTTCCAGAAGTAAAATTTAATTTTAAAGGGAAAGTTTAGGTGGGAAGTAATAAAGGTCTCAACTCTAAACAGGACATTAGGAATTGGATGTGCGGGGGAAAGAGAGGGTATTTGAAGAATGTTATTCATGCATGGTAAGTAAAGCATGTGGTCACTGACAAGTTAGTGGAAGCGCCACTGCTGCTGACTCCAGCTAGTGCCCCCAACCTCTGACTTTAAAAAAATTCTCAGCTTGTTCCATGGACCACAAAAATTCTACCCATCCATTATCCTGATGTGAATCAGGTAATATTGCACTCTTGAGCTTAAAGAATTTCCAAACATGGTCCTCTGACAAGAAATGAGATATAAGCAGGCTGATGGGAGGACAAAATGGAGTGAAGGGTCTGCATTCCAACACTACCCCTACCCTGAAAAAGGATATTGAAACATATAGTATTGTTGACCTGTCCTTGCTACTTCTGGAGAAGGGAGTAGAGCAGGTCTGGGGACATACAATGGAGTCTGATTCTAAACTAATTTTGTGCTTTGTCCCATCTCTACCCCTAGGTTTCAATAGGGCCTGAGAGCCTGTAAACTTCTTTGTTTCCCATTCAAGATGCCACTTTCAGACTTTGTTCTGGCCCTGAAGGACAATCCCTACTTTGGGGCTGGATTTGGCTTGGTAGGTGTGGGCACAGCCCTAGCCCTGGCGCGAAAGGGTGCCCAATTGGGCCTGCTGGCATTCCGGCGCCATTACATGATCACACTGGAAGTCCCTGCTCGAGACAGGAGCTATGCTTGGTTGCTTAGCTGGCTTACCCGCCACAGTACCCGTACTCAGCACCTCAGCGTGGAAACTTCATACCTTCAGCACGAGAGTGGTCGGATCTCCACCAAGTTTGAATTTGTTCCCAGCCCTGGAAACCACTTTATCTGGTAAGACTGGGAACCAGGGAGGGCTCTGATATAAGAATAGAGAGCTGGATTTTATCATTTTCCTTCACTCACCCCGTTTTGACCATTCTTATTCAGGTATCAGGGCAAATGGATCCAGGTAAAACGAAGTCGAGAAATGCAGATGATAGACTTGCAGACCGGGACTCCTTGGGAATCTGTCACCTTCACAGCTTTGGGCACTGACCGAAAGATTTTCTTCAACATCCTGGAGGAAGGTGTGGGATGGCATAGGCAGGCTGTAATGGACCGGGGGGGGGGGGGGGGGGGGGGGGGGGGGGGGGGGGGGGGGGGGGGGGGGGGGGGGGGGGGGGGGGGGGGCATAGGGATGGGGACATTGGATATTGGAGGAAGAGCAGAGCAGTTTGGGGAGGAAGAATAAGAGGATGTGACTCCTTGGGAGCATGGGGCTAGGAGGCCTTTATTGCATGATTCTGTCTAACTGAAGAACAGCCATGTTGGAGAGAATTATTGGCATTGTCTTATCTCCCCTTTTACAGCTCGAGAGCTAGCCTTGCAACAGGAGGAAGGAAAGACTGTGATGTACACAGCTGTGGGCTCTGAATGGCGCCCCTTTGGCTATCCACGCCGCCGGCGGCCACTGAATTCTGTGGTTCTACAGCATGGTCTGGCTGACCGAATTGTCAGAGACATCCGGGAATTCATTGATAACCCCAAGTGGTACATTGACAGAGGTGAGAAGTAGCTTAGGTCTGGGATAGGCTATTTCTAACCATATTGTTAAGGCAGACAGGCTGGTTTTTGGCCAGGAATGATGTAAACCTCTAGCTCAATTCCCAGACAAGAAGGGGCAAGAAAAGTTGCCTATGATTTTTTTTTCATACCTAGGCCATCAGGCCAATAAGAGGCACAGCTAGGAACAAAGTGGACATGTGGGACAGGGTATATAATTCACTTATTTATCTTATTTATCTTGGCTGTATCCCTAGGTATTCCCTATAGACGTGGCTACTTGCTTTATGGACCCCCTGGTTGTGGAAAGAGCAGTTTTATGTGAGTAGTCAAAATTTCACTCAAGTCTACAAAACAGCCTTTGTAGAAAAACTGGGCAGAAGAGGCTGGAGAGTGGAATGAATCTGGGGACCAGGAGCCAGGAAAAGCATGTGATATGTGGAAGGAGTGGGAGAATTGGGCCTCCGAGATACACCTCCCACAACAGGAGGAAAGGGTCTGGACCCAGGAATAGTCCCCAAGTTGCCTACCACCTCCTCATGTTCACAGCACAGCCCTGGCTGGGGAACTGGAACATAGCATCTGCCTGCTGAGTCTCACAGACTCTAGCCTCTCTGATGACCGGCTCAATTACCTGCTGAGTGTGGCCCCACAGCAAAGTCTGGTGCTCCTGGAGGATGTGGATGCTGCTTTTCTCAGTCGAGACTTGGCTGCAGAGAGTAAGTGAGGGTGTTAGGGAAGGGGGATGGTTCTCAATGAGGATAGTGAGGTATAGAGTATGAGGAATAGGAGGACATGGAATTCCACAGGGCTGACAGGATGCCTAGGTTGGCTGTGAGGCACTAGAGTCAGGGACTGTGGTGGGAATGGAGGAGGTGCTAATTTTAAGCAAGGTTATGACCATGCTTTTCTGTCTTTTCAAGACCCTGTGAAGTACCAAGGTCTAGGTCGTCTTACCTTCAGTGGACTGCTCAATGCCTTGGATGGAGTGGCTTCCACTGAGGCACGCATTGTGTTCATGACCACCAATCATGTTGATAGGTAAGGAGTGAGGGAAGAATCCATTCCATGTCTTGGGAGAATTAGGAAGTTGAGGAGACCATCATTTTTGGTGCGCTAGTGCGACTGTTGCTTGTGACTCTCCTCCTCCTAGGCTGGACCCTGCCCTGATACGCCCTGGGAGAGTAGATCTGAAGGAGTACGTGGGCTACTGTTCACACTGGCAGCTGATCCAAATGTTCCAGAGGTTCTATCCAGGGCAAGCACCTTCTTTAGCTGAAACCTTTGCAGATCATGTCCTTCAAGCTACAACCCAGATCAGTCCAGCCCAAGTGCAGGGCTACTTCATGTTGTATAAAAATGACCCCACAGGGGCAATTCAGAATACCGAGTCTCTGAGGTAATCAGCCAGGCTGTGCTGGGCTCTCCTCCTAGAGGAAATCAATAAACACTTGCCATACCACTCTGGTCCCTGACTCTTTCTCCCTCTCTCAAATTGTACTTAATACAAAATGAAGGGCTGCAATCACAGGGGACTATATAAGGGTTAATCATTCCAAAACCTATACAGATAATGGGGGGTCTAGCCTAAGAGAGGAGGAAGAGGCTCTAAATCGGAAGATACATGCCTCCATCTAAGGGCATCCAAGTGAGGAACATGTATTAACATGGTCGAATACATAGTGGGGGGCGCTGGGATTATGGCTCAGAGGTAGAGTGCTTGCCTAACATGCATGAGGCACTGGGTTCAATTCTCCAGCACCACATAAATATAAGATAAAGATATTGTGTCCACCTATAATTAAAAAATAAATATTTAAA